CACATACACACACACACACACAATCTTCAGCATATTCCTAAAATACGCAAAACGCAGCGGTAGACTTCGACCCCGTAACCAAAAAAACATACCCTGAACCGAAACACTCGCACTACCGCACTGAGCGGATGAACGTTTGGGGCTCGACCTACTCGAACCTACTTCGTACTGGCGCACTGTATCCCTAAATCCTTGGGCCGGTTTGGTTTGCGGAAGCGCCTATACTCAGCCCTTCTACTAAGCCTTTATAGTATATAGTAATATAGCCTTTATAGCATATAGTAATGTAGTATGTAGTAATATAAATATAGTAACTCCGATAGAATCTTATTCTATTCATACAGGCCGCTGTGCCCCTGCTGCGCTCCGACGTGGACCCATTCGACAGTCAGCCGTGTTGTCGTCGTCTTCGCGTGCGTTAGGGAAGCTGGTACCTATCTTCGTGGAAATAATATAATATAGGGGCCTTAATAATTGGAATAGGGTTTTGGGGTATATTAGACCATAATTCGAATACGGAACCCCAAAATAGTATTGGTAATTACTAAGGCCCCTATATTAAGGCCCTGCATGACTAGTTAGAATAGGATTTGGGGGTACCTTAAACTATCCTTATCATGGGAACCCAAAGGAAGGGTGTCGGAAATGACTGAAAGTTCTTTGTTCTCCTAAATACTAATCATTCCGGCATATTATAAAGAAGCCTCATAGGACCCTACTAAAGAATTTAAATGAAGCAGCACAGCCCGATCAAACCGTCACGCAGGCCTTACAATACAACCCTTCTTTAGATTATTTTAGATTCACGGTTTAGGGTTTAGGGTTTAGGGGCCCCTCCAACAAGCATTGGCACTTTCATGGGTAGCGTTTGCACCTCCATGATGCACCCCCACAAAGTAGTAAGCATGTCATGGGCGTCACAAGGCAGTATTTGCGTTGCCAAAACTCAAAACCACGCTTGACAATACAAGGACTTACAAGCACTTATAGGAACTTACATGGCTTTTATTAGTGCTTAATAGAGCTTAATAAGCTTTATTAAAGAAGTGACTTCCTTTCAGGCTTGCACCCTGGCCTGCAGTGCGAGAACTCCGAAGACGTACAGCACGAGGCCAAGCAGGGCAAAGGCGGCGACCATCGTTTCGCTGGAGTTCATGAGCCCATAAACCTCGAAAACTCCGAGCTTCACGAAGCCCTGAGCCCTGGTCCCTCGCCTCTCTTTGCCAAAAGGCTATACTATTCAGGGTTTAGGGTTAAGGGTTTAGGGGCTATACGCTTGATGCGGCTGCAACCCTAGATTGAAGCACCAGAACTGCACACAGCCCAGAGAAGCATGGGCGGAAAAGCTGTCTCGAGACTACGACAAAGGAACTACAGGCACAATGCAGCCAATGTAGGGGCCTTAATAATTAGAATAGGGTTGTGGGGCCATTACACTATAGTTATAATAAGGAAACCCCAAAATAGTATAGGTAATTATTAAGGCCCCTACACTACAGACGTCGGCGCCATGGTTTCGCATTGAGAGTTTACGGAAGCCAGCGGGAAGCTTTAGGTGCATGCGCTACGCGGCACTGTGGATGCGCTACCAAGAAAAAAGGCCCCTGCGACTTTCGAACAATAATGTAAGGACCTTGATAATTAGAACAGGGTTTGGGGTATCTTATACTATAACTATACTAAGAACTCCCAAAATAGCACAGGTAATTATTCAGGCCCTTATAGTACCTTTCGCCTGACACCTGACGGCTTCGTGTCATCAGGCAAGGCGCGAGGCGCCAAATGGAACGGATCTGTTTGATCCTTAGTGGCTTGATTAAATGACGAGGCCAGGGATTAGGGTTTAGGGTTTAGGGTTCAGGGGTTTAGGGTTTAGGGTTTCACCACCGCCACCACCACCACGGACAACCACTAGCAGCCCCGACAGCAACGACACCACCACAACCTGCAGCAGCAGCAGCAGCAGCAGTACGCAAACATCAGAAGCGCCGTCCTCATCAACAGAATCCCTCACCGGTAACAGCTGCAAACTCGAGCTTCGCGATCTCAGACATATTGATGCTTCTGCTAGGTTTTTCTCGAAAAACCTAGTAGAAGCACACCTAATTGGACATGGAGAAAAGTCCGAGGATCATCCGAAATGTCCGAACGAGGCGAAAGAGTCGCAGAAGCCGGAGGATCATGATCTGCCTTGGGTGTTTAGGCTTCGGGGGTTTAGGGTTTAGGGTTTAGGGCTTGGGTGTTTAGGCTTCGGGGTTTAGGGTTTAGGGCTTAGGGCTTGGGTGTTTAGGATTCGGGGGTTTAGGGCTAGGGTTTAGGCGGTTCGGGGTAGCATAACTGCACAGTCCAAAGCCTTGTTCGGTGGATCGGAGCGCCCCACCCGCGGAATGTAACTACACAAAAACCACAGGCCCAGGGTTTAGGTTTTAGGGGGTTCTGGGTTTAAGAGAAAGCAAGGCCCTGCGAGCTTACCAGGAAAGACTTGCTGAGATCACCGCGTGGCTGACCGGCTGATCCAGCGACGGCCACCGACAGGACTTGTTCCAGAATTGCGATCATGACCAAACCGAAGTCAAAAAGGAACCAGCCATCGCCTCACGATTGCTCACTCTCCAGAGAAACCAGGACTGCTTTCCCCGAACCGATTCTCCGTCCTACCAAAACTGTAGGTGATGGGGCCAAGTTTTTGCAATCTCTGCTCACAGGCTCTGCAGCTGTATCCCTGAATGTTCCTCGCTTGGTCCGTTATCCCTGAAACCCTAACGCCCTAAGCACTCAAGCTCCCAAACAAGGGCGTGACCCCAAACCGAAACTACAGCCAGATTGGGCTTAGGGTTTAGGGCTTAGTATTGGGGCCTGACCAGTTGGACTGGTTTTCCGGCCATAATCTCCTATAGCTATATAGGACTATATAACTATCGTTAACGGCTTAAACTGGGCTAATTAACATTGTTGCGAGTAGTGATTGTTATGAATCCTACAAGGCCCATATAAACCAATTGTCAATCTGTAGACACCCTAGGAAACTAGCCACGAAAACCGATCGGAGGCACGCAGAGCAGACCACCGGAGAGCAATCGCTCGCACGATGAGCTCAAGGATGTAGGTGCCCATGAAGCCTCCGTGCATCTAGAAAACCACTGCTGAGGACAGGAGGAGCGGGCAGCGAAAGCAGGCAGCAAAGGCAAGCAGAATGAAGAGAAAGTTGGAGAGAATCTTATGGAATTCGGCAAAGGACCGGAGATCTCCAGACTAGTCATGGACAGCAGATTACGAGGACCTCGGCAACGCAAGCGTGGAATGCACCAACCGAAGACACTTGCAGCACTAAAAATGATCATACCTTCCCCTACTTGCCCCAACCCCTACACCCCTAAACCCTAAACCCTAAACCCCTAAACTTTCTAAACCCCACACTTCTGCTTCGAGCGACCGATCTCCGCCAAATCCGCCCACTCCACGGATTCGCCGTGCGTGGCCAGCTGGCTTTCCACTCCAATCCTGCAAACGGAGAAAGCATCTCAGGGTTTAGGGTCTAGGGTTTAGGGTTTAGGGTCTAGGGTTTAGGGTTTAGGGTCTAGGGTTGAGGGTCTGGGGTCTAGTGTTTAGGGTTTAAGGGTTCAGGG